GAGATACTGCAGTGCAGTACTGATCTTTTCTGCAATCAGACGTGCAGACTAGTCCAAACCCTGAGTCAGCACAATTTCTTTTTTGATTGGTTGATCTGAGTAACATACTTTCAATTTATGCTAAAGTGGCAGCAATTAATACATTTCCCCCTCTCCCCGCCTTGCAAAAAACCTTTGAATCAAATGCACAAATCTCATCCCCAAAGTCACGCTCTGGTCCTAAATATTCTAAGGCTCTTTCATTTTTAATTTAGGGCATTAAAAAAAAAATTTGCAATCCAAGCTATGCTCACTTTGATCGACTTGTGCTGCAGCAGCTAAAATATCTGTCCTGCAGGTCAATCTAATCATGCTTAATAGCAGTTTATTCTTCAACGCACCATTTTTCACATTGGGTCGACAGTTTTAAATGAGATTGCTGATGCACCCCTTTACTAATGCTTTTACCAGGGCCAGCACATGCTTTGAAATACTTGTGCAATAAAATGCTTTATTGCGCTTGATGAAAGCACTATTAAACTTGAATTGCAAACAGACTTTTTTTAGAAGGGGGTACTGAAATTTATTTGGCCACCTGCTCTAAATATATGAAATAATAATAATTATAATCACTTGCCATCAACATGAACAAACAAACAAAACCTAAACACCCACTGGGAAAAATGTACGTCACAAATCGTCCTTGTGCTCTCTTGAGTGTGTGCAAAATAGCCATTTTATACCCGGGGATGGTTTCGCTTACATGCCGAAAATTCATTTCTAAAACGGCTGGATTTTGTGAGGCATAGTATAGGAAAATTTTAACTAATTTGGTCCACTGGATTTACGGCTTTTATAATTCTCAAAGCTACTGTTTCCACAACTGGCATTTCACAATCCTCAATTTGCTATTTGGATGACAGCACCTGAATTTCCCAACTGGTTCCAATAGAATTACTTGCCTAACATGACCTGCGGAGGGATTCTTAGGAACAAACTTAGATTGGACTGGAAAAACGGGAACAAATCTCTCTTGTATGGAGAACAAAATGGAAATAACGTGAAGCTTCATTTCAATTGATGAGTTCTGCAGGGATGGGGCCTGTTACAATTTTAATTAAAGAAAGAACTATCAACCAGGCAGTGAGAGTAGCCTAATGTTTTTACAAGGACCTGGGGCCCAATCTGTCTCCCACTGAAGTTGATGGCAGGCTCCCCCTTCCTTTAACTTGGATGGGCACAGGACCGGAGCTCAACTTTTGATGTTCACTCAGTACCATATGCTTTTCATTCTCGTGTGCTCTCCATGAGGCTGTTTTAAGAAGCACAGAGATATGTGTGGAATCATAGAATCAAAGGGTTAGAAGGGACCGCAAGGGTCATTTGCATTGTTACAGGGAAGCAAGTGGGGACAAGAGGGAATTGTAATGGACGTCAGCAACACTAAGATCCAGACTTGGGCATTTAGCAGAGCTACAGCAGAAGGCCTCATCGCTGAGCTATACTCTACCGTATGCTGCTCCTTAAAGCACATCACCCCATGCCTTTATCTCCCCTCCACTCATTTTCCTTCTGCCAAGATATTAAAATACCGCAAAGACGTCGCTTAAAATTATAGCTTCCAAAATATTTACATAAAAATAAATCTGAATGCTTAGTTACTTCCTAATATTAGTAATTCCGTAGGATTAACAAGCCAATTAATTTAAAGAGGGAAAAAGTAGGTAAAAATGGTATTAGGAATGCAGGTACCTATTGTAAATCAGAACCAGTGTCCCTAAGCACAAGAGCAACGCTAAGCATCGGAAAAGTTTTAGTGAAACCTGAGCTGGGAGGAAAATGGTAACAACAAAAAGGTAAAATTTGTTTTCTATCTACGACACTGAGAATCTCTCTCATTTTTAATTCCGTGGATCAGGCTAATGTAGGTGATTTGGGGGAAGCTGCAACCAAGCCTATGATCTGTAGTTTTACTGCTCAGTTAAATCTATTTTCAAAACACTCGTGCTTTTATTTAAGCATGCAGTGTCGTTGTAGCTGCGTCAGTCCCAGAATATTAGAGAGACAAGGTGTGATGAGGTAATCTCTTTTATTGGACCAACTTCTGTTGGTCCAATAAAAGAGATTACCTCATCACACCTTGTCTCTTAATTTAAACACAACCTCTTTAATGTCAAACATGGACTTCGTCTGGGGAAGGAGCTGCTGCCTCTGTGAGATGGCTTAGCGGGTTCGGATGTCTTCCCCCTGTAATTCCACCAGTGGCCGCTGCCTTCGTTGGTGGAATTGCAGACTAGGCAAACTTTGTCAGGACATTGCTTCCCTGCTTACTAAATGATCTGGTGTTTGGGGAATGGTGGGCTCCTCCCCACATCTACTGCAACAAGGGAAATATTTTTTTAAAACACGCCTGGTTAAGCAGCTTGGAGGCCCCTAGCAAAATGCATATCAGCAGGTGAAGAACATGAGTCTCCTCACTCTCCCTCCCCATACAGGGAATCTGTCATTCATGCCAAAAGGTCATCCCTTCTGGCAGAAAAACCATAACAGTTTATTGTGGGGACTTGCACCTGTTGCAGGCTCCCAAAGGTCTGTCAGGAGTGGGATTCTCCTAAAGAGCAAAGATCACATGATTTAAAAAAATACCAAGGCCAGAAGGACCACACCCCTTTGAACTATAACAGGGGCTCTTTCTGGTCCCTTACATGTATCTCAGCCCTACACGGTGGAAATGAAGTTAGCTCAGTTTCACTTTCATTCAGTGTAAAGTCTTTTTTTTTTAATGAAACTTTGTCAATAAAAAGATTTTCACTTGTCTTAGTCAGCTACAGTTAAATCCTTTCTGCCTTTCTATAGCATTTACTATTAAAAAAAATTAATATCTACTGAATAATATATGGTATAAAACCTCAGTGGTATGCAGCCTGCCTTTTCTAACCAGTTATTCATGAACTCCTGCTTATAGTTAAATCCTCTTTGGCATACATGTAACAAGTGACAATGGTGCTTGCCTTGAACAGAATAAGGACTTTTGCAAAATCCAAATTCAGTATCTCGCTCACTCTTCTGGGCCATCAGAACACGCAACGCTCTACTAATTTCCAAAACCAAATGTCTGTTGGTTGCTTGACCACCCCCAGCCTATGGATAGCAAGTTGCCAGGACTCTATCAAATGAGATGTTAGCAGTAAAGCAAATTGAAGGTGGTGTTAACCAGCAGGCAAATCATTCTATTAAAGCAAAATGTTTCAGGTTAATTTCCGATAGCACCACTAGTTGAGATTTGGTTAACTTTGGGGGAGGAAAAATACTTTTGATGAAGTTTAAAACAAAACAAAAAATCTGCCGTAGGCGCTTTTGTGGGGAGGCGGGTTGGGTTTGGAAGTGCGAGGATACTTTTAGAATGAAATTGCTAAACAAATAAGGGATTACTTCTACATATGTCCAATATCCAATATATAGCGCTATTTTCTTTCGTCCTGATTCACTTCTTAAACCATTATTTCAGAAGAGCAGAAAAATAACCAAATGCATTTTGTTGTACAGTGTAAAAAAAAAATGTTTAAAAGCCTAATAAGACTTCCCGAATTCAAGCCTGCTAATTTTATTATTCTTTTGGGGGAAATATATGCACATATTTAGGGCTGCTCGTGCTTTAGCTACGTTGAAATTGTTTTGATGGCTGTTAATTGAATTCATCATAAAGACGATTAGGATATCTTTTCTCGCTGCTTTTAAACATGAGAGCTTAGTTTGTACATTAATTTAGAGCTAAAATACTGCACAGCTAAGGCAGAATCATTGTATTCTCTCTCCCTCTGTCCCCTCTATTCTCCTATCCAATCTCTTTCTCTCTTTTCTCAATTTAAAACTCAGTCTGCTTTGCTGGCATCTAGTCTAGTTTTTTTGAGGTGGAGGGGGGAGGTACAAACAAATAAAAAAGAGCAGTTGGCCTCTACCCTTGTTAAAAAACACAAGTGGACAGCAAGCTTTCTTCTGGCGTTGCCTTTCAAAGCCCATGCCGCAGTCAGCATATTGAATATTTAATGTCCTGATGAGCATTTCCACCTGCTGACACAGGCAAAGTGACAGAACAATACACGCACTGGAACAAGATCATCAATAGACTCCCCGGTCAGTTTGCCATGTCAGGCATTTAAACAAATTTCTGTCTGTCCTTCTCCCTTTTTTTACATTGGGTCACACATTGCTCCACTGAGAATGATCCCCACCTGAAATACATACTTCTTTACATTCCATAGCTTGCCAGGTTCATATGGGCATATAAAGAAGTATGTCTCTCAAGCAGGTAGTTTCAATATGTGCATTTATATGTTCACAGGAGAAAATAGTGCTGATTCAGAATTCACATCCCAAGAGTGTTCAGTTAAGGCTCAATTTAAAATAGCAGAGTTTCTCTTTCCTCCAGCAACACACACGCACACTCACTTTCCCCACCTCGGACTAATCTCCAATAATCCATAGCACCTCCTCTGCAGGTTTCTGATTTTTTGTCACCGAGAATAGAAATGGACACTACCTTGGACAAAAAGTCTGAGCAATCTGGCCATTTGCCCCTGACAATGCTTCATTTTCACATAAATGGGATGGGGGGGCTGGGGGGGGAAGCAAAAGAAAACAAAAATCCCATCCAATTCACCCGAAAAGTAGATATTTCATTTGAAATCCGAAACTTTCAACTACGAAAAAAAATCAGAAAAAAATATATATATATATATCTCTCACTCTTACTGGAGGGATTTTTTTTTTTTTTTTTCCAAAAACACAAAAAAAAAAAAAAAAGACACCTGAATTGTTTCCATCCCAGGATTTAGAAACAACCGCAGCCAATTTGGGGTATATACCACCCAAAAAAATCAGATGTCTGGTAGATCACTTACAAATCAACACCAAGCTTGCCTGTTCCATTCGCCAGGGTTAGAAAAGTCATCAGTTACAGACAAAGAATTGCTTTTATCAATTAGTTGGGGTTAAAACATAAGAAGAAGAAAGGATCTTACCTAGAGACTCCAGAGATTTTTCCTTTGCAGGTCATTGTAAGTGAAACACTACCTTGCAGATACGAAACCCCGGAAAGAAATGACATGCCTTTTGGGGCTTGGGGGTTGGCTTTAAAAAAAATTTTTTAAATGTCATCCAGTTGAACTCCATGACAGCTGAAGATGCCTGTAACATACCTGCAGATATGCAAAATAAAAAACAGAATGGGGCAGCCAAAGGTAGATGCCAGAAAGCATAGGCCAGAGTGGAAGTCTGCAAGTTACTCCTCAAGCAACTCCTCTGCATGCGTGTGGTGTGTGTGTGTGTATGGCTCTTTCTCCTGTTTGCATTAGTCAGTCAGTCTCTTTTTTTTTCTTTCTCTCGCTCTCTCGCTCTTCTCCCTCATTGCCTCACAGCCACTCTGAGCTTTAAAGCTCCCCTAACAATGTGGTCCGAGTGGCACTGCTGAAAATGATGATTGTACTGAATACGAGACTATTATGGGCAGGCTTTAGGCATCAAGCAAACCAGGAGGTCACACGGGGCGCTTAATGCTCATTCAGCAGTGCTGTAATGGTATGCTTAGCTTGTCCACTCACCTGCTTCATTTGACTGCTACCCCGAGCCCGAGCCGGCAGATCAATACCAATTTACAGGCAAATGCAGAATGGCTGCCTTAGTGTTAATGAATTTTACCGTTTCTCACAGTCTTCTAATGAACCCTTTAAAGAGGGTTTAAGTAAACTTAGCAAGTGGCAAACTAAGCACTTTGGAATACTTAATTGTATCGATGTTTTTCCACTGCATTTTAGAATATAACTGCAAACTGGGAAGTAAATATTTCCCAGTTCCCAGTCAACTTCTATCACCACCGAAAAGAAACCGAGCGGTCCCACTATGCCAGTGTTTCGGAAGGTTAATTACTGTGAAGCCCTGGAAGTCACTTTACTCCTGCCGTGTTACACTGCTCACGTGCTTTAGTCTCATTTTGTTTAACATCTTTTTTTGATTCCTTTTTGTTTGTTTGACTTATCACTTATTGTTATTTGTCTAATTTAAAGGCAAATTTCAACCTTTTGGGACTAAAGAAAAGAGAGATGGACCTGTAACACTATCAGAATGCACAACTGCAGGGAAATTAAGGCAGAAGAGAGAACTGAGGGTTTAAATAGACACACCAATAGTATGAATGAACATCTGATTGCTCTGATTTCAGGAAAAATCAGACACTCAGGGAGAGTTTTCCATGGCCGAGACATTCAGTTGAATTTTGTTTTCCCTTGTCCCAACAACAGTAAATGTAAGTGTGGGAAGAAGGATGGTTACTTAATTTCTTCGACCTCTAAAACATTTGTAATCGACATACCATTAGCTTTCCCTAAATAAATGTTGATGTATGCTCTCCTGTACAGTCCCAAACTTTTGCAGATGAATTGGACACCAACTAAAGGATAATAAGGAGAATCTTGCATAAGGTATTTAAAAGTAATGGGTTTAAAACTAAAGATTAGGAAAAGAACCCCTATCTAATGACTTATAAAAGTCAAGGCAAGTTTATCCAGTCTTGCTGAGGACAGCAAGTGGCAGTTGCTTTTATACTAGTAACACCTGGGTGGAAGTGTATTTCATTTTTGTTAATTCACTTTCAGGGTCTTCATGGAGATTCATGTTTTCCAAAAATGCCCCTTTTTAATTTTTTTGGCATAGTAAAAAATATCTGCACCCCTGTTTTACATTTCGTCAGGTCGTGTTGTGTTCCAGTTACCCAACTTTCCCTCCCTCATCTGAGCTGGTTTAACTGTCTGTTGATTCATTCAGAGTGGAAAATGTTGCATGCTGATTGGGGGCATACAAATCTTGGGAAAGGGAAATCCTAAATTGTTGGTGTCATTTGACAAAGGAGGAGTGCAGAGATGAGGAGCTGATGAAAGCAAGGAAGACAGCCTGAGCTAATGGAAGTGAAGTTAAATGTGGGAGGGGAGAGTACGAAGGGGGGGGGGATGACATGTGTTCATGCTCACAGGGCTTTCCTCCTTTGCCTCAGACTCTATGCACTTGTCTAGTCATTTTACAGATTTCTGTCTGCAGCTGGACAGCACCGAACTTTTTGGAGCTGCAAAGAATGGGAGATGCAGGAGAAGGTCTTTATTCATGGAGGCAGTGGACAGAAGTGAGAAAGGAAGTTGAAATGAGGTGGAAGTTTGTGTTAGTTCCAGCCAAGCCCGCCCGCAATCCGTTCTGAACAGTTTAGATTAAATTGAGTCACTTTCCAAAAAATGTCTGAGGCATAGACGATATCATCAGTTCAGGAGAAACCCAGCAATTAAAATGACAGCACAAATCAAGGATTTCTGACTATACAATTACACATGATTGTACATTCTTCAATCTCTAATACACACACACACACACACACACAGGCATATATATACTATATATACACAGATATAATATATATTGTATTCACATAATATATATTACATATGACATATATTTATATCATGTGTATATGTAGTATATATATACACACTATGCAATATATCTCTACTGTGCATATATATATATAAATATTTATCATTATATATGTGTGCATGGGTGTGTGCATATATACACCACTATCATAAAAAATGTAATGACCACAGTCAGCTCTTTGCTTCAGAAGCAAGAAGAGTCAATTGGCACATGAAGTGTAACCTGCATTTTAAATTCCTTGCAGTGAAAATATAACTTCTCTTCCTCTGACTTTCCTTTTCTGATTGTCCATAAACCACATGTCTGTAATTAATACTCGCTACTCAGCATTTCAATGGTTAATCACCGCAGTGTTGAGATCATTGCAACTTACGGTAAGTTTAAACACATTTCAGCTTTGCTCTTGTTGGTATTATTTCAGCTCACAGCTACAAGGTATTAAAAAAAAAAATTCCCCCAGGTGTCATTAGCCAGCCCATATCAGTATTAGGCATTTAAAGGCTGGTTTAACCTTGCAAAATGATTGCATGTCAAAGTTCTGACATTTCAGTTCAGATTATTCTAGTCCAGGGCTTTAGCTTGCTCTGCAGTTTGTTTTTTTTAAAATGCGGAGTATGCCACAGCAGAACAAGAAAAAAAAGGTCTCCTAACCCACCCACATATTAAAACACACATTCTGTCCACAAACACACAGTCAACAGAGCAGAGGCACACATTTAAGTCCCTGGGCAAGTTGGATGGGCACCGAGTCCTGCATTAGCCAGGAAAGTGTTTAAAAACAAGCTGAGCTGGTGCAGTTAAAAGAAAGACAGATAGGAGGGGGGGGGGGAAGACATACCCGTTAGAAGATTCTGTTGCAGCAGTAGAGTCACCAGAGCACTAGCTGAAAGCTGAATCAGCTTTCGAGAGTTAGGGATGCATAGAGGAGGGTCATGGAATCACAAGGTAATAATGCGCTTCATGCTGCAGCCGTCAGCCTTCTCCTTATAGCCAATCTCTAATGCAGGAAGGGAAAAAGAGAGCAGGCCCCGTAATAGTATTAGCCCTCACTTGGAGAGAAAAAAAATTATGAGGCAACCCCCCCCCCCCATACACCCCCCCTCCAACAAGCACCACTACAACTCAATCCCTCCTGCTGCATCGCAGGCTTAGTGGGGTGGGGGGAGGGAAGGGAAGGAGGGAGAGCTTTAAAGCTTACAGCTAAGGCTAAGACACAGAGCTAGAGAGAGAGAGCACTGAAGAGCACAGGCAGAATAGAAGGTGGAAGCAGGAGTTAAGGAGAGGCAACCTTCCATGCTCAGCTTGCCGCACACCTTGATGCATAATGGCTGTGTCTGCAGAAGTCTCCCATCTCCCGCCCTTCCTCTCTTCTCTTCCCCCCCCCCCATGCCCCTCCAAAGGGTCAGCCTGAGGTAGAGGTCAGGATGCAACCAAGAGCACGCATGCAAAAAAAAAAGGCGGGGGGGCTGCTGCACAGAGTCTAGGGGGGCGGGGGGAAACCTCTGATCAGAAAACGAGTCCACCTTTCCAGTGCTTATATACCCAGCTAAGCATCTGAAACATGCACTCCCAGGCAAGTGGCCCCTTTTCATGCCATTGCCTCCCTGACCATATTTAGTCAACCATGGCAAAAAATAGCCTGTCAGCTGGAGACGGCCGAGCAGGGAGTATTTGGAGTTCAATCACTTCTCTCAGCCCATTGACTACTAGTCCTGCAGGGTCCTGACTCTGCCTTTTTTTTTACCCTCAGCTATTTTTAGCTAGGCCAAATAGAGAGCCATCTCATCTTACCACTCTCTGCCTGTCCCAAGGTTTCACCAGGCCCAGACTATGTATGGTAAGCGCTGTTGTTGAGAGACAGAGACAGAGACCATGTCCATTCCGAAAGACCTTTGTCTCCCCTCAGGGTTTTTGGTTGGGTTTTGGGGGGGGCGGGCAGAGGGGATTGGTGGGGGAGGGGTTGCCTATCTTTCTTTGGTTCCTTTTTTTCCTCCCTGGTGGAAACCTATCCGGAAGAGGAGGTGGGGGAAAGAAGTTGAAAGGCTATTGATTCTTACCTTAAAGAGAGAAGAGCCGTGATTCAAAAGCACCACATTAAGACAGACTCCCTGACTGTGAGATCCCAGGCACTTCACCGGCTGGCCGAGTCTCTCTCCATTCTGACCCTTTCCAGGCTGCTGGCCCCCGGGGAGTGTGCTTATCTGTTCCTCATGTTGGGGAATGTGAGTAAGCCCAACTTTAAGCCAGGGAAAGTCACCCCCCAAAGGGTGCCCTGTTAATGCATGTAATACCTGAACAAGCTGGTATCTCTCAGGGTTTTTGTTCATGCTAGTTTTTTGGCCCCAATGAAAAGTCATCATCCTCGTTAATTTAAGGTGAGGTACTTACACAAAATGTGAGCATGTTGCATTGACTTGCACTCCTGAAGTGAGGGAAGCAAGTGCGTGATCTGAGATTTCAGGGCCCCTTATAAGATCCAGCTTAAAAAAAGATCAATATGAGGATAGGACCAGGTCACCTTGGGGAGAAAAACATAAATAATGATAAATGTGACTCTGCCTGTTCCTAATGAATCTGCCTTGTTTGTTTGCAAGCAAAACCCCAAATCTGGGCTTTTCACTCATCTAATGATCCTCTTCCTCCTCCCGCCTCCCCCATGCACAATTACATTTCACTTAGCAGCTCTGTATAATTCAGACTTGGCTCTAAAGGACATGCCACTTCTTCACACCCGGAATGGATCATAAAGGCTCCTATGGGATCAGTCTCCGTTGTGTGATTTGGAATTGAATTTGATAGCATCTCACATGAGTCGAACCCATGATTCTAAAAACCATCCATGAAAAAACAGAGATGTACCTGTACCTGCAGTATGATGGGCCCGATCCTGCAAGGTGCTGAACTCCCTCCGTTCCCATGGCAGTGAGACGGCTGGCACCAGGCAAGAGGTGCTTGGCACCTTGCAATGTCAAGCCCCATATCCTGCCATGGGAAAAAGAGAATGAGGATCAGGTGACTTACTCCACCTTTTATTCATTATCATAATAGCATCAGTGGAGATTTCTAACCTACAGGTAAATAAAAATATATGCAATTAATAGTACCCCGTAACGATCTAACAACTTTAAAGGTTGCTTAATAACTCATTTAATAGAAGCAGCAGAAACCCATACAGTTATGCAGCAATTGTAAATGCTTTATATTATTGATCCTAATGGATATCCTCAATTGATGTTGTTGATGAGAGGCTATAAGAAAATACTATTCAGAGACTGCTTTTAACCTACCCTGCACTCACGTGAACTGATATGAGGTGCTGAGCATCTGCTCTGAGGTCCTGAACATGCCTCCATTCCTATTGACTTCAAATGCTTGGTAATGCTCAGGGTCACGCTCAAAAGCATTTCTTCCTGAGGAACCCAGCACATTTCATTCAGAGATGAATTATTAGTTAAAATTTGAGTGATGAGCTATACAGGGTCAAATTCTTCTCTAAGTCACATTAATGCAACCTCATTGCTTTCAATGGCTTGTGCCGTAAAGGTGAGATAATAGGAGAGAGGCCAAGACTAACATGTGTGGCTGACAAACCACATCTGATCCCTGTCTCTCTCTCTTAGGCCCTAAGGCCCAACCTCTGGCTGCCAGCCTGAAAGCTGCCCTAATGGGGCAGCTAGGAATTGCCCTGGCATTAGAATATCCCTGTGTGGTATAAACCCAGTATAGTTAGCTCATCATCACCTGCTTCCAGGCTCCCCATGATAGAGATATGGGGAAGCAGGAAAGGAGCATGACCATAGCATGCTGTACCCTGATGATCCTGAGATGGCAGAAGTCACTACTATCAATGTAATGTAGAACATCCCAGAGGCTGCTCTAAGTTATACCAGGGGCCAGACCTGCCCCCAAGCCAGCCACAGGATTCGGAGAGTAGAAAGGTAGCTTAGAGGCACCTTTCTCTCACCTTTCCTCTCAGGTCTTGGTCAAAGAGAGCTCAGCAGGATGTGAGGATCTGACCCCAGAAGTCTAAATTCTCTTTATGTATATTAAAGGTTTCACCAGTCTCAACAGAGTACTCATTTAACTTGAGAATTGCTAGCAATACTCAGAGAAGAGGGATTCCCAAACCCTCCATCCTCCCCTTAACACATACACAAACACACACACACCGATAGTCTGTGGGTAGATTTGAACTTGGAGATACGTTTTTAGATGCCCCCAGCTGCACACAAGATTCAAAAGCATCGTAGGAACTGTATGGCGTACATATCCAGTGCACAACCAGTGCATACCCAGGGCACAACCAGTGTAGGCCTTCCAAAGGAGGATACAACACAACTCTGTGAGCTGTAGAAATCTCCTGGTGCCTCTCCAGAGGTTGCCAGGGAGAGAGCATATGGGCAGTCCAGGGCTGTGCACAGCATATAGGGTGACCAAACAGCAAGTGTGAAAAATCGGGACAGGGGTGGGGGGTAATAGGAGACTATATAAGAAAAAGACCCAAAAATCAGGACCGTCCCTATAAAATCGGGACATCTGGTCACCCTAACAGCATAGAACCACTAGGCCAAAACACATGGGTTTGTTAGGACACAGGGGAGTGAGGGAGCTAAATCTGTTGTCTTTCTCCTTCCTCTTCTATTATCACATAGTAGCATCCACAGCCTGGCAGCATATCACTGACCAGTTGGGTCTAAAACAACGTTTCTCAAATGTGGCCACTGTGGCCGCATGCGGCCACAAGTGACTTTTCTTGTGGCCACAGCCTCCTGGGCAGTGATTGGGGGAGGGTCTGGGGAAGGGGGGGGGTCAGCAAAGCAGCGGCCCCCTTCCTCAGGGCCGCCAGCAGAGGTTGGGCCCTGGCCACCTCTGGAGACACAAAAGCTGGAGGAACAGATAGCCAGTGAGTTCCCCACCTTCCCAAGGCTGGTGGGGTCAGGCTCCAGCCCTGGGATGGCGGGTGGCAGGCTCCAGCCATGGGGCTTCAGGCTCCGTATCCCAGCCATACAATGGCGGGCTCTGGCCCCAAGGTCACTCTCCCCCATCACCCCTGGCCCCTGCTGCCTCCCCTAGTGCTCCTGGCCCCTGCTGCCTCCATATCCACCTCCCCATCCAGGGCTTAATTTATCCCCAGGCTTGCCAGGGCTGAGTAAGTCTGCTGTGACAAGTGATATTTGTATGCTTCTTAATATCACTTTCAGAGGAGACTTAGTAACTAGGAAGTCTAAAAAAAAAAAAAAAACCCAAAAGCACAAGACATAACAAGAAAAAAAAATTGGAACGCGCAAAGCACCTTATTTGTGTTTCTATTCTGTTTAGGTTCAGTAAAGAATAGAGACAAGTGTACATTATTTTTATTATTGAGTCTGCAAAAAAAAATCCTACATAAATAAATTACAATGATATGGAAATGTGGATATTCATATTTGTTTGTTTTTCCTAAAGCTAATTAAGTATTTTTGGAAAAATTGTCAGAGCAGCCACCAGCAAGAGTTAGTGGCTGCACTCTGAGGCCACCAAAAAAACTGTTGTGAGAACCCCTGGTCTAAAGGATGTTGTCCCAGTCATGGCCTTATATGAATAAAAGCCATTCCTCCAAAGAGGAAACCAAAGAGATTTTTGTCCAAAACTCCAACCCAAACTGATATAAGGTTTTGTAAACTCTCAAATCATTTTTGCCACCTGATATCATTCATTTCTGTACAACTAGGATAGGTGTCACAAGTGACAAGAAAGGTTGTTCTCATGCTGTTTTCAGCCCAGTGCAGAAGCATAAAATAGACAAAATTCCATGAGAAAGACTTTAATCAGATCTCCATCCTAATCTTGCAGGCCCATTTAGTTCCATGTATTCTCCACTAAAAGAGCGGAGCTAAGCTGGGGAGCTTTCTTGAAGATTAGTGGTTGTTTGGTACCTGAGGCCCAGTAATACCATCTGTTGGCTTGAATCAGCTGTGTGCATACCATTAACAGACATCTGAGGTTGAGAACACACCCTCATGCCATGAACTGCAGCAATTATTTAATGGAGGTGGGCCCCAGACAAATCCCTAGAGCAAAAGACACATGTACTTTTGGAGTGCACACAATCCAAACCTTGATTAGGATCTGAAGTTGCACATGGCCCTCTCTTCTTGTATAATGGACAGAACCAGAATCACAGATCCAATCACCCTGAATGATACGGTGTTTGACATCTGGATCCAGAACCAAAATTGGTGGCATGAGACCATCTCTTTTCATAAGGTTCTGGTCATACATCTGTTCCACGCATAGATAATTGTGAGAGTTGTGTGCACAGAGTGCCTCCAGAGATACGGACCTGAATGTGCAATATACTGTGCTGTGGTAAGTTATAAAAGAACCAAACACTTTCACAGTGTGTGTGTGTGTAGATTACACACATTAAAACTTCTTTAACCAAAGAAGCTTCAGTGAGATAGCAGAATGTAAAAGTGAACATATTCAGGACT